TGTTCACTTTGATTGCCTCAGCAATACATGTAGCACCCGCAGCACTAATATAATAGTCAGACAAAGACAAATTGGTCAGATTCAAATCAGTTCCAAACGACTTGGATAAATGCGAGTGAAAATCGCTTTTTTCTCTTCTACATTCGTTGATGGCCTCCAAAACAATATTTGCACCACGGCCTTTATTTTTGTTGACTTCATTTGTTAAACTCTTTACAAGAGCCACAACTTGTTCATCGCATTTCATGGCCAAAATTCCACATGAAAACAAAAGTATTTTCTTAAGTTCAACGAAATACCTTGGATTGGAAACTAGTTCTTCAGGTTTCATTTCCTTGCTTTGAATCTGAGAACAAATGAAGAATGCTGCAAAGAATTCTTGAAAACTTTTATGTAAGAAGGCATAATGCAGTGTTTGTATCAGTTTGCTGCCACCAGGCTGCACTGACAGAAATCCAAATTCAGTCAGGTCTTTTGCATGGTTTCTTACTTCACTTTCATTAAAATTCAACTTATCGTCAAGTAAACCATTCAACGCTACCTTTCCAAGGCGATTCAATTGCGGTTTGTAATAGTTTGTCAAGTCTTCGATCGTTTCTAGTAGTCCCTTCCTTTTTCTATATCTTCTCAAAACACATTCAACCATATCCAAGTACAGTTGAGCTCTGCTTTCGGGGAGTGTGCCCTCAAACTCTTCGCATAAAAGGCAAAGAAGTGCTGTGTTTAGAGGATTGGCCGCTATTTCTCTCAGGTTTTTATCTCGCGATATCCGTTGCGAGAGCTTGGTGGCCAAATCCGGCCTTTCTTTAAAGTACTTGGTGACAAATTCTCTCACATGCTTTTCAGTGAATCCTTCGATCTGAAGCAGCGCGTCACAACATTTTCTCACCTCTTTTCCAGCTTCGTGTCTTGCTGTTGCAACTATGTGGCATCTGGGGAGTACTCTTCCTTCCATTATTTCGGAAAACATCGACAATTTACTGGACGGTAACTCATCCAATCCATCCAATATCAATAAAATGCTGGACTGATTTTCACGAATGAACTGAAAGAATTGTTGTTTGACTTCTTCATCGATGTCTCGGGGCAGCAGCTGATCATCAATGGCTTCCCAAACGTCAGAGTGGATATCTCGACATTTCAGTAACAATACCACTTTAAATGCTGTTGAGCCGCAGCCCTGAGGTTCTTGCTGTTTTGTGGCCCAGTCGTAAGCGTACTTTTTACAATAGGTGGTTTTTCCCATACCAGGTTCTCCTTCAATCAACACTGTTCTCGGCGCTGAACATTCTTCATATGGGTCTAGTATTGACGATATCTCAACAAATACGTCAGTGATTTCTCCTCTCTTTCTCTTTCTTCTGACCACTTTGAGCCTTGTAAAAATATTGCCAAGGAAAAACTGAAACTCTTCACACCATGGAAATGGTGAGAGCCATCCCTCGCGAGTC